AACGTCAATTACGGAACACAAAAGCAACTTACGCTTCATGGGGCCCTCCTGGTGACACACACACACACAAGTAACGAAGGAATTGTGACAATGCGCAGGCGAAGGAACTTCAAAGGAAGCACAAGAAGAGGAACAAGAAAATAAAAACACCCTCCGGGTACAGAAAATAAAATAGGAAATGAGCCACCGGCAGTCATTACGTGCTAAAAATACGAGGCTCGCCCCCCATCGGAACAATACAAAAGAGCAGCAGCATTGCATTAAGGCGAGGAATATTTCCTTCTCGGACTTGAGGTTACTACGATGAAATATATTTATTTATATACTGTATATTTATATACGTTATATACATGAAAGAAGCCACGGGACTCTGCTGTACATTCCCCACTTCCACATTATTGAACCTGGAGTTTTTCAATGCGATGCCTCGAGAGAAGGGAGAATAATCAATAATATCAATTAAGCCTGGAGACTACTTACATGTGATGCATTACCCGCATTCAGAACTTTCGACCGGACCGCTTTCAGCCTGGCAATAAATTGTTTTCCTCAGCCACAGGGAAAAGTTTTGCAGGATCACGTACGAATGATTTGTTGGTTCAAATAACCCGACAAATCATTTTCGAAACGGAAATTGCTCTCGAAACCAACACTCAACTGTGATGAAAAAGATGAACGAACTGAACTGAGGCTTCCAAGTTCACCTAAGACCACAAAATCAGAAACTTTCCAGTCAAGAAACCCAGCGCAAATGTGTTCATAAATTTGATTTACATCTTGCTCAACGAAGCAATTCTTGCGGCGACTTCTGTTACGGACAGGAAATGATATCTACAACAACAGGTTTTACCTGCTCTCTACCACGAAGTCTTTCTGATCTCTTGAATTTCGTTGCAAAAAAAAAGAGTCCGCACGTATTACAGAGTTTAACAGTTAATTTGCAAGTAACACGCTTTGATACAATTATATTACAGTACTTGGCTAATAATCTCCTTTTCGTAAATTATTTGAATTCCAAGAAGTATAACGCTTCCATTTCGAATTACCGGGATCAACAGTATTTTCGTCAGTACGTTCTTAAAACATCTTATTAGTTGAGATTCTCAACCCGCGTCCGAGCTTTTAATTTCAACCTACCTCCAATTCAAAACTACCGTGAATATTCCAACGACAATAAATGAATGCATCACACGTTCAAGAGACCAGATGGCTTCAGCATGGCATAAATTCTCAACGGCCAGAGCCGAACGCGGCATAAATATTTCCCCGGAAGACGCGTGATTACTTCATTATCCGAGCAACTGACAAGTTACCAGAAGGGGAATGGAATTACTTGATGCTGGTTAGGATTTTTCCTAAACCTTACACTGTACAAAGTATATAAAGAAAAGCGGAGAAGAAAACAGCGTCCCCAGTGACCCTACGTGATGAAACTAAAACACAAAAAAACCAAGCTCATCAACCTCACGGGCTCTTGACAGCAATCAGCTCTTCGCCAGCAAGAAAAGAAAAAAAAGTATGTATAAACCCCCCGCACGTATCTATAATTTTTTTTTTGTGTTCGTCATCCATAATCTTCCTATCCGGGACAAACAAAATTAAGTGAACGATAATAAAAAAAAAGCCGTGATCGGATCTTCCATCTCCTGAAAATTTTCACCCCACGCTGGTTCGATCTAAACCGCAAATCTGCAATAACTCAAGATTCATCACCCGCAGCGTCAGCCACCAGTTCATCAGTGATTTCCCCCCCCCCCTCTTTCCTCTTCGACGGAAAGTTTACTCAATTTAAAAACCCCGTTCGATCATCTGGTCCTTCACGAATGGGGTGGGGGGAAAATGAAGCAGACACCGGCAAAGATGGAAGCTGACAATCAGGATGATGATGGAAATAATGTAATAGGGAAGACGCGAGGCAATCAAAACCCCTGCCCACAGCCAACCCCTTTGTGGAAATTTACAACAGGTGTTTTGTTGTTGTAAAAACTACCACTTTACTTTTCCCTGATTCACAAGAGTTTCGAAAATACCAAACACAAATGAACAGTTTTGGTAACCCTTTATTCAAGGGCTGTTCGGTTAATATTAATAATGTCGAGGCTAATATTCTTTCTGATTATCTCAAGTGGACTTCTGCCATTTCTGCACAAAAAAAAAAGAGAATTCACAACTTACGCAATACGCTCTAAAAAATGAAGTTGAAAATATCTTTTAAAAGTTGAGCGATGCATTTTTTTCTTCTCCGGGCCTCTGCCGTAAATATCTTCCAGGGTTCTGCTACTTTCGTCAGACTCAATCGCTCAGCTTTCGAACGACTTTTCTCATCGGAATACAGTATCACCTGCCCTATCTTCAGTGAGAAGCTGGAACAAAAACGACTCAACCACATTTCTGCAAATGCGTGCTTCTTTTCAAAAGTTGATGCAATTTTCTTTCCCTTCAGAAGATCCCGTCGACTTTGGATCAAGTTGAGAAAATTTATGGAAAGCTACACGAGAAACACACCAAGAGCAACAACAAAAAAGGTTAACCGACAAGCGTTGAGATTTACAGCACGTCCTTCCGATCCCTTGGGACAATTTGCGAGGAAAGAGGCACAAGCACATCAGAAGCCAGGATTTTTTCTCCGAAAAAAAAAAAAAAAACCCTGCCTTGTTAACTACGACTTATGATGACTGCTAACACGAAGCCGTGAAGCAAACGCCGAAAACTAACGACCTGACCCACGCAATAAACTCTTCGCACCCAGTAGTCAAACCTCCTCTTTTTCCCTCCAGCTGCTTTTAGACTCTACTCTCTCTCTCTCTCTCTCTTCTTTGACCATTATTCAACACCTGGGAAAATACAAGAAGGCAGAAAAACACACACACACATTCCCGAGATTTAAAAGCTTCATCCCTGCGTCACACAAGCTTTTAAAAAATTTTCATTCTCTTTGGAAATTCCTGAACTGGCGGTCTTTTCAAGAGGCGACCTTTATCGACAACCTCCGGGGCATCGCATCAAAATTCAAAAAGCCAGCCCTCTCTTCCTCGATAATTGCATCCCTAAAACCCTTCCATCACGAAAAACAACGTGGCAATCAATAACCAGCAATTTCCTGCTCAATAAGCAGCAATTAGCCCCTTGGCAACCACGGGGTCAACCAAAGATTCCCCCGCAACAAGAAGAAAAAAACACATTCAGACTGGACGCCTCGATGCAAAATCCCCGTGAGACTCCTAGAAGCACGTTTTCAACTTCCGATTTCCCCCCTCGCATCGACTTTTCTGACACGTCACGGAAATATGCGTATATATAGATCCGCATCCATCACGACTATTTTTTACTTTTTTGTTTTGCAGAGCAAACCGGAGAACTTTCAACTTTTGTGACCTGACGGGGGGAGAAAATTCCGGGGCAACGAGAAGAAAAGGAGCAGAAAAAAACGAAATCAGAACCAGAGCGGGGGAAAAAAAAGAAAGATTATTCCCGACATTCCAGGGGACATATTTTCCCTTCGCCATTCACACAAACCCGATGGGGAAAAAAAGAGAGAGAGATCGAATAATAAAGCCATTATTTTCTAAACGTTCCATTCAAGCAACAACAAAAAAAAGCAACACAAGGAAAAATCAACGACCCCGGAGTTCTATGTCTATCTATCCATGTGTCTCTCTCTCTTCCTCTCTAGCATGCACAAAACGCCGATATTTCCGGCTCATCGATCTTTTAATAGACCGTGCTGGGCTTTCCAGAGCATAGCATACACACACAAAAACACAAACACACATGGGCTGAGGAGAGACAGAAAGTCGTCCTGCTGTTTTTCTTCCGTCATAACCAGAGGGGAGGAGAGGGGAAATATTCAGGTATTTTAGGTTAACTTCCCTTCTGGGAGATCGAGGGGGGGGGGAAGGAGGAGAGATGTAGTGAGATTTGCTACCCAAGTCAGCAGCGGCAAAAAAAAAAAAGGCGTCGACAACATTTGCATCCTCAACAGGACGGGGGAAAAAGGTTCCGCCATTCTACACAGAAATTCGCTGAAGAATCACAGAACACCGAGTGTTCCAAGGAACATACGGATAACGACACGAACATTTCGGAAACATGCGGAAAAAAACTAAATGTTCTTATGCTAGTTCCTTAAATTTTATTTTATTTTTTCCCAATCGAAAACATAACTAGAATCAATGAACACAGAAACTTTACGTCTATGTTTTCAAGTCCAAAAAAGCAGTAGAGTAGAATCTCATTATAAAGAATTAATGCGTACGAATTTGCTCTTTTTCCGGTGCCTGTTCAACAGGCACAATGTTATTCTAATTTATTTCAACGATTTTTTTCGTTTATAACGAAGCTTTTGTTTCGTTGTAATGCGCTTCTACTATAAATTACTTCTAACGAATCTCAGAAGGCCACAAATCCGTTTTTTTACATTTAAATTAGGTTAGAAGGAAATACTGAACTGAAAATACAGTTCAATTTACTTGAGGGAGAATTTTCCCACAAAGGCGAAATACAAGAAGAAAAAAATCACGTGTATATTTCAGACAATTTCACAAACTGTGTACTTTGGCAGACGTAAAAGTATAAATTTATTACGCAGATGCCTAATGCCCTCCAATATTAAATATTTTCTGCTGAAACAGGCGAAAAATGTGTATTTATACATGTAGTATTTGTCTCAAGTTGAAGTTAATAAGCTCTCCATAAACCCTACCCCATTTTTCGGATATTTCTTCTCAAGTACCCGCGGAGCCCCCAGAAAGTTCTTGTGGAGCCCTGACGGCTCCGCAAAGCTGAGCTTCAGAAGCAGGAAATTAATTTTTACGTTGATTACACTAGAGGGAAACAAATCGTTTCAGCACATGACTAGTTTACTTCACAACGAAAACCTTCGCTGAAACGATTTACTTACAGTATGTGTGTGTGTGTGTGACGGGGAGCAAAAAATAAATAAAAACAAAAGAGCGCGGTTGGAGAGGGGAGCAAAAACGCCGAGCAAATCGCACAGACATTCACATCTTCCTCGCGCCGAATAGCGCCAAATTCCTCTCGACGACACTGACGAGAACCGAAACGTCGGCGATAAGAAACGCCGCCTCCAATATAACCCGAACTAACAACCCCCTCTATACTTTTCAGAGAGATAAATAGAAAAACGACAGAAAAAAAGAGCAAGATACAACAACGACACACAACTTAGAAACAAACCACGCGGGCCAAAAAGCCCAGAACCGCCCGGAATTTTCTTCCTCCACGTGTAACACGCCGACAAATTGGCTTCACGCTTCTTTTTCTTCAATTTATTTTGCACATCATTTCTTTTTTTCCCTCCCTGCAGCCCTTTTATTTTTCCCGAACCTCCTCTTCTTCGGATTTTCAAACACCTGGGCTCTTAACGTAGGAACAAAAAGGTTTGGCTGGGGGTTTCATCTCAAGGTTTCAAACAGACAAGTGAATGGAAACATCTATAAGACGCTCAAAAAATCGAGGAAAAAAAATCCAAGACCCCTTCATTCGACAACAGTACTAAACCTGGATCTCAATGCGCAGTGTTTGAATGTGGCCATAAATTTGGAGAGGACAGACCGATAAATATGTTAGGAAACAGATACACAGTTACACTTACAGTCACTTCATTCTTTGTTCAAGTATCGAAAGCACTTCATCATATTGCTCTAGTTCTTGGAACATGACAAGGACGGGAAGAAACGTTTAAAAGAGGCATGTTTCTCAAAAAATTACTTTGGGATTCTGTCTTCTTTTCTCTCAAGAAAACCTCATCAACTGCTCAGAAGTGGCTGGACATGCACAATAACTTTCATCGAGTTTCTGAGATCTGACAAAAAATTGCGACTGGAAATATGCAGCGTTTCCCATGGGTTTCATGTTCTAGATATCTAGCATCGCCCGAGGCTCTGACCAGGAAATATTCCTGGTGATGATTGAACAACCATTTTTCCCTGGTCTTTTCGTCGCGGTATTTTCCTTCATTCCCGATTGCAAATGACACGCAACAATTGTAGGAAACATGCTCGAGAAGGAGAAAATGAAGAGAAACAAAATGCATAAAATGTAACTGACCTGCCGCATTTTGTCAAAATCGAGGAAGGGCCGCGGCTGACGTGCGGCGTGAACGACTCGCGACGAGTCGGTGGCCTGTCGCTGAGTCGTCGGCGTCGACGATGTCGTCGATGGCCGATGGAATCCCATCCCTTCTGACGACGATGTCGACAACGTTGCTCTCCTACTTCCCCAGCAATGCCAACGACAGGAACAAGAACAGAAAAAAACATGGAGACACATACTCAAGCTCATCATTTCGAAAATTCTACCAGTAATAATAATACAAAAAATCGGGACACGCGAATAGTGAGATTCTACACGGAGCTTTCTTTGTTGCTTGAATAGACGGAATTCTGATACAAAAGTTGACTCAAATGCGAGGCTGTTGTTCCGTGAACGTATATAGTAACAATAATAACTACAAAATAAGAATTTTTTTTTCTAAAGTAGCCCTGACTTCCAGGGTCAATTTAGCCTCTTTCGACTTTCATTCGTTCTTTTTTCAGCATGATTCGGAAAAAGAACAGCGTCTTTCCGATGGGAAAACTCGGTGAATTGGCTATTTTTTGTATATATTTTCTATAAAATACCACGTCTTCAATTCAAGCACCTTTGAGACCCCATTTACTGCTGCTGGTTTTCTTTTCTAAAAAAAAATAAAAAACATACCTGGACAAAACAGCAGCGCCGTCGTTGAAATGAAGCGTTTTCGGCGGGGGCGGTCGAGACCCAGACGATGATGACGAAGAGGATGAGGATGAATTATTTATCGACGACGACGAACTAGATCCCGTCGACGACGACGAAGACGTCGACGATCCTCCAGCTGCACCACCAAGCGTCGACGTCGACTTCTCAGCACCAATCAACGACGAAGCCGCCGACGAGGACGTTGTCGAATTCGTCGTCGAGGCGGCCAACACTCGACCGGGTCTGGGCAGATCTTGCGGCGGAGTGGCGGAGAATTGCACGGGCGCCACGGACGCCGGTCCGGTGCTAGAGTCCTCGTCCACGTCCACACCGCCGCCTTCCGCTGACAACAGAATGTCCGACACCTCGTCGTCATCGTCGGAGCTGAACGACGAGCCCGGCCGGGAACGTTTCCGTCGCAACTGATGGCTCACCAAACTCTGCTGCTCGACAGGATTTGAAAAACAAAAAAAGGGATAACATTTCAAAACCCATGTCCTTCGTTTTCTGCGACACGAAACCATGTCCCTTTCGAAAATATAAGAAATTTGAATTTTTTAAAAGCTTGGTTCCTTTGAATAAGGTGGACCAAATACGCAAGACCCCTTACAACTTGGAAGATTTGAGATAATGTTCAATGCCCCTTCAACAAATGCAGTACTGTATTCGAATTAAAGTTACCGTAATTATGTTTTAACTTCGAATGATACTACCTTGAAAATAACGTTTCAACACGCATGCCTTTCTTTTCTGCGATCCGAAACCATGTCCGGAAAACATATCCAACAAAATATAAATTGAAAATTAAAAGAAAAACAGGTTCTTCGGATAAGTTTATTTCACACGGTGGCCAAAAAACTCCCAAGACACTTTCAATTTGGACAGTTTGAGTTATAGCGTCAGAAAAACATTTGAATTACAGCTGATTGAAAATTTACTTCGAATGAAACCCAAGTGAAGGGACCGTTACGATCAGCACGTACAAATTTGAAGACCAAAATGCAAACTTGGAAATTTCCATCTTGTTATTTCTTCAAAATAAAAATGTCAAGCCAAGGTTTTCCCGGTTTGCGAACCTTGGAACGGTTTCCACGCAAGTTCTTCGATTGCTCGAAGAAATACTTCGGCGGACTTTTTCAAAGACTTTTCATACGTCTTTCTTGACAGGAGAGCGAAGAAAAGAATGTCTGAATTCAATTCACCCAAGGCGAAAGCGAATTTTTCTGTTGATATTCATTAGTCGGAAATGCAAGATATGAAAAGGAAGCATTTTTCATTTTATAATTATTTTCTTGAAAATATACCGTGAAGGTTTCGTGATGCAAAATTCCTTCGTTGCACCTTCCCTTCTTCTTCCCTGCCTCAGCTGAAGAAATGATTTGATCATTTTCTCATATAACTCGAAACTTGAAAATCTTTTATGTAACGGTATTGGCTCAATGAAATTTTACCCGGCACAAAAAAAATATTTACCTCGTAAATTTTCCCTCAGAATGGCGCTGCACCACCAGATAGAAGCTACTGTATTATGGTAATTCTACAGCGTTGTGTTGTTCCACAATGAACCCGTTCCATTCAAGGGCATGACGTAGAAATGCAATCAACATCATGTTTCATACTACATCATCCCACTGCTCACAGAGAATCTTCGTGAATCTCGTCAGAATTGCAAAACTCTTCCCCGTGAACCCCTTTCATTCGTATGAAGGAGAAATGAAGTTCCCGATGGCGAATAAATTACGGAATATTTTCCACCCCAATAAATGCTCGCACAAGATTTATAATCAGAACATCAAAATACCCGTCAACCAAGAAAAATCCAGCCCTTGCTTCTTCCACAGAAAATCTCGGGACGAACGTCCGATTGAATTTGCTTCCAAATTCGAAAGATTTCGAGTCGAAATAACTTGTATTCGATCACAAAAAAAAAACCTAGAGAAACTAGTTACAGTCGAAATGGACTGAAAATCTACAGTAATTTTCGGAAAATCGATTACCGCATTTTACCCGGTCGGTGTTGCAAAATGCCAATTTCTGCATCAACGTCAGATTCAATACAATAGCAGGTTCGACTCATTTCTTCACCAACACAATACTGGATTTGCTCCAGTCAATAAAATTTTCTTTATTGATACACGGTCACAAATCTTTCACTTCATCACTGCAAAGATTTTTCAATTACTCGGAATAATCCATAGATATTGAAAGAGCATTAAAATACAGTTAACCATAGATCTTACGTGTGAGGGGTAACTTTTTCACTGTATCGTCGTAAAATCTGAGTTGTTTGTACAGTACTTCCTACATTATTACATTGTTTGGAAAATTTCTGAGAAACTGGTCCGGAAATGGCCTTTTCATTCGTATGAAGGAGAAATGAAGTTCCCGATGGCGAATAAATTACGGAATATTTTCCACCCCAATAAATGCTCGCACAAGATTTATAATCAGAACATCAAAATACCCGTCAACCAAGAAAAATTCAGCCCTTGCTTCTTCCACAGAAAATCTCGGGACGAACGTCCGATTGAATTTGCTTCCAAATTCGGAAGATTTCGAGTCGAAATAACTTGTATTCGATCACAAAAAAAACCTAGAGAAACTAGTTACAGTCGAAATGGACTGAAAATCTACGGTAATTTTCGGAAAATCGATTACCGCATTTTATCCGGTCGGTGTTGCAAAATGCCAATTTCTGCATCAACGTCAGATTCAATACAATAGCAGGTTCGACTCATTTCTTCACCAACACAATACTGTACTGGATTTGCTCCCGTCAATAAAATTTTCTTTATTGATACACGGTCACAAATCTTTCACTTCATCACTGCAAAGATTTTTCAATTACTCGGAATAATCCATAGATATTGAAAGAGCATTAAAATACAGTTAACCATAGATCTTACGTGTGAGGGGTAACTTTTTCACTGTATCGTCGTAAAATCTGAGTTGTTTGTACAGTACTTCCTACATTATTACATTGTTTGGAAAATTTCTGAGAAACTGGTCCGGAAATGGCCACACATTTATAGCATTTTACTTTTGTGAAAATCAAGACTCATCGGACAACACTCAAGTGGGTATGGAAAGTGGGTGAGACTGGGAATCATTCGAATAAGGGCCCCTTCTTGGTCCATCCAAAAATTTGGAGATGGACCCATATTGCGAAGTTAAAACGACATTAAACAGAGAAGCCCCTTCAACAACCACAAAAAAAGGAAGAAAAAAGGGAAAACCAACCTCGTCTTCATCGGCGACACTGTTGTTAACGGCGGCATTCTGGACAGAGTTGATGGTCTCCAACTCGTCCTCAGAGCTGTGAGAACCGACAGAGTCCAAGGACAGGGCTTCTTCTTCTGGCCAAGAGGCGCCCCCGTCGTCGTCATCATCGTCATCCTCGTCGTGAAACCCGCTCACTGACGTCGCCTCGTCCTCGACACTCGTCACCCCAGCCGACGGCGCCCGAACATCTTCCGCCATCGCTGTCGAGGTAAAGGGGAAAAAGGGAAACCGCAAACGAAAATAAAATACCCAGTATTTTCTTGCCTTTAAAATTCTGTTGACCGAAGTACAGTATGCATAGATTTTTTATTTGTAATGCAGTGAGACCCCGAGATGCGGACGTAATTGGTGCATCAAGAGTGTCCCCAAGTCGAAATGTCCCTAAGTTGAGTCTTTTTTTCCCAATAGACTTACATTATATAATTTTCAATTGGTATTTTGTGGAAGAAATATTCTTCAAAATTCCCTGAAAAAAATTGTTTGCCACTTGAATTTGAGTTAGTGAATACATCTTCAAATCAATAAGAACATTTGGAGCATTGAATAGTGTATCTCTGTACTGTACACTGAAATTTTGGCATCTACAAAAATAACATTAAAGTGAAAAAAAAGAAGTCCCCCTATGCTGGAGTTAATTCTTTTTAATTAGCTAAATGGACGGTAATTTCGTGAGAGAAATGCCCAAAAACTTTTCTTACATCAATTTTAGGGTTGGAAATATCTGTTTTTAGCTAAATGAATGGCAAATTGGTCAGAGAAATGCCCAAGAACTTTTCTTACCATCAATTTTAGGGTTGGAAATATCTGTTTCTTGTAATTTGGCCTGAAATGTATTTGCTATTTTATAACAAAATGTCCCCATGTCGAGCCAGTGTCCTCATGTTGGGCCTTATTTATTGATGAAAATAAGTGTCCCTATGTCGAATTGTCCGCAGGTCGAGGCGTCCGCACGTGGGGGTCTCACTCTTCAACTCGAAATGGCGAACAACAAAAAAAGCGTGCCCCTTAAACTCGAAAGCGTCTCGCATCGAAATCTTTCAATGGTGTCATTACGAGACATGGACAATTTTGAATGAAGATATTCCCTCATACATCTTTCAAGTTTTCAATACCGACATTTTTCTTTTTGCGCAACACCGTAACCATCGCGAAACCCATTCCGAAAAATATAAATCCGCTCTCACGCAGCCTATCCGCCTCCGATCTAGAACAAGGATGGGTGGAAAAACATGTATAAGAAATCGAGCAGAACACGACAGGACAAGCGAAAAAGCAGGGGGGAAAAGGTCGGAACTAAGTGCGCCGATAGAGTGGAATAAAACAAAAGAGGAAGGAGAAAAAAAATAAATAAAACGCATATCCTGTACAAAGAAAAGGAGAAAATAAAAATGACGGGAAGCAAACGAACGAAACCCGGGCTTGGGTGAAATACGAGCAACACCCGGTCGCTCAATCGCACGCGGACAACCGGAACGACGGCGAGAAATCGGCCCTGGCACCGGATCCCAGAAATTTCCACTCGACGCCCACAAACCCGAACTGAGAAGAAGAGAGAAAAATCCCAGCGCTTTTTCTCGAAAAAGTCGATTCGGAAATATTTACATTCATATTTCCATCAAGCTTTCGAAAACCGATGAAGAACAATCGAGAATATGGTTGAAGCTTCTCCACCGCAATGAATAAAAAAAAAATGAGAAACTAAGTTTCCAAATACTTTACAAGAACCCATCCACGAAGAATTCTACATGCAATTAGTATTCAAGTACAAGTATTCTAAGGAATACCGTACGATCATTGAAAAGTACTTCGATGGCACGACAGAATAATATTGTGGCACGCATCTCAAGTTGAAATTAAAACCCAGGATATGATGACAAATTATTTTAGGAGAATTCGTGCGTTGAATCAATATTCTCAACATATATTTTCTTGACATTCTTATCAAGTTCCCAATTCACCCAGACCCAGAAGGAAATGTTTTGAGAGGAAGTCGTGAAGCTCTTTTTCTTTCAGGACGAGGTAATCCACATCCTGTATTATTTTTGGAGATACCCAGTACTTGAGAAAGTACTGGCAAGAACTTAAAAAAAAACAGAATTGGTCAGCTTCAAACAAATTCTTTTCTTTGGAAAAAGGTTTTCTCGGCATATGCTATTTCCCGGCTTCGTATGTTACCCGGGTCTGTCTTGAACAGCTGAGAACTTGAAAGGAACCCGATCTCGGAACGGAATGCACGTTTTGGCATCCAATAAATAACCTCCGAAAATTCAGAAAGCTGGGAATAAATACGCTCACGAAGACGAAAGCATCGCGAAATATCAAAATTCGGATGATCGACGCATCATTTCATCATTTTAATCTCGTCCTGTTTACATAAGGAGACGCATCTGCCTGGTTTAAAAAAAAAAAACTTCCCAAGAATCCAGAAAATTAACACCAGAGGAAGAAACATTCGTTTGAAGTCTAACGAATGCACGAAACAAATGCATGCAATAAATCTAAAACGAAGAATACAGCATAGAACTGAATTTCCCCCATTTTGAAGCTTTCTGCGTTCCCTCGAAGTCCGATTCATAAAATAATATTGAACGAACATTTCAACAGGACGTATTCGAAAGGAAATTAGGTTGCGACCCGTACTCCGTAAATTTTCAAAGCAGTAAAAAAATGTTTCAACACTCCAGCAGTCATTCATTACTTGAAAATAATATTTCTCAACATTCTCTTTCCCGCTGATTTGCCGACCCGAACCCGATGAATTACACCGACGATCTTCTTCGAGCTCTTCCTAATTCCGAACAAACTGTCGGAAAATGAATATTGCATATCCCTCGAAAACTTTTGAAAGAGCTTCTAATTTTATCCCAGGAATATTCGCCAAAAAGAGCACGGGGAAAAAGCTCGGAAACCGTTGCTTCTCCACAGAGAAAGTCACGGGAAATTTACCGCTGCTGAGTTTCTTAGTGGAGGTTTTCCAGGCTTCAAGCCAACTTGACTCTCAGATGTATGAACAAACAAACCCCACTTTTTAGGCCGAAGTGAAAAGGGAGATAAGAAAAATAGGGAGAAAACAGATTCGGGTCGGGCAACGAACCCTCCAACCTTTTTAACCCTAACTGCTTCCTAATCGTCATTGGGAATATTATGTGAGCTGACACGAGCTCTAAGAATCACGTCCTATGTGTCATGAAAAAAAAATCCCATGGAGAAATTCCTGAAAGAACGTGATTAAATTTGCACTAAATTTCACACTTAATTCACTACCCGGTACGAATTTATATTTTCAACCGAGCTTTGACTGAGAAAATGAAAGTCAATCATATTTTTCAGTTGACTTCACCCAAAATTTTATGTCACCGCAGATTCTCGAGATACCGATTGAAAGTCGAAATTTCAACAACAAAAAATCGATGGTGTTCACGAAAATTTTCTTCTCAGGCGCCTTTTCCAAGTTTTCTCATCGAAAAATCAGAGCCACAACTTTCAAATTCAACATGTTGAACGAACGGAGTAAAACTTGAAGATTACAAAACCAAAGGATGTCTTCTTTGTCATTTCTTCCGAAAAAAACAAGGATTTTTTTTAACACAGGTAAGAAAGAATCGGATAAGTCTGAAAAGTCGAGAAATATCAAGAGCTATCTGTAAAATTAATTTCGAAAACCTCAATGAAATTCGAGTTTCGAGCATCGCTGGACATAATTCTACGGAAATATGCCCAACATCAGAAGAAACTTACGGTTATTTTCGCATCTTTCGTACATTTGGTTCAGAAATCAATTTACCTCCAAAAAAGTTATTTTCAACTGAGAAAAATTAGCTTCGGACATAGTAACAAAAATCACAACACGGAAATTAGTTACAAAGATAAAAATGGTATTCGATCACGTGAAAGGGAATACGAAAAACAGCGGAGTACATAACACATACACAACGCAAACAAACTAGAAGGGAATAGAATTTCCGTTAGAATTTCTCTTTTTCCTCTCGAGAATAAAAATTAACAAAGAAAAAAGTTATACAACTATTTTTTTCGCAACCGAGCCGATTAAATTGAATTCTGACAAAAAAAGGAACGTCGAATGCGAACTACGGCCCGAGTATCAACCAAACGTGCGGTTGATACTCGGAAAAAATAAAATGAATAAAGCCTGCTTCGTATTCTTTCCACACAGGTCGTGACTTAGGGACATGAAGAAGGAGAAGAAAAGAATAAATGTAACGTACACGACCGACCCGTAAACTCCTGCCTCGACAACTGACCCAGCTTTTCCTCGACTCTGCCGCTTCGCTTTTTTTTTCGATACCAGAAGACGAGAAAATACTGTAATGGAAATCAGCCGAAAAGCTCAAGCGATAATTCAAAAGGCATCGAAGATTGGATTTTTTTTTCACGGAAAAACGTTCTCCAAGAAGGGAACAATGTTTTTACCGAATATTCCGAAGAAGACATTCAGCAGTGTCAAAACATAAATTGTGCGGATTGTTCACTTCGAAAGAAAAATATATTGCCGAAATTATATTTCTCGGAAAGAAGCCGTTCATAATTTTCTTCGCTTCGCGTTTCAAAACTAGTTTTCCATCTCCGACTCCTGCGTTGTAATTATTCTTCCGCAATTTTCGATCTTCAAATTTTTTCAATGAGCTTCTATCAAGAACAGTTCCTAGTCAAGAATTTCTCCACGGTTTCTGCACTTCGTTTCGCTGGAAATATCGAATGATTTTTCCAATCTCTAAAAAATTAAATCTTCATTTTCCGATTACCAAAGCAAACTTTCGGTCGATTTTTTTCGAAAGTCGAATTTCATTTTGGATTAACACAATTTCTATCACGATATAGTTTATTAAAAATTAAAAAGCTATTCCGTCGGACTTATAATTTTTGTTGCGATTGAATTTCTTCAGAAGTTTTTGGGACTGGAAGATCCCAATGTTTGACATGTAGAAACCAATTTCTGAATTTATTCTCGGATAACAAAAAACTTCTTCGAAAAAAATATCTTGCAAGATTCTTCATGCTCTAGTTTTAAATTAACGCATCTCCGTTTTCTTTTCTTTTTAAAATTTCTTTTCGTTATTATGAGATCAGCTTCATTTCAGTGTTGAAGCTCGAAGTAATTTGAAAATGTTCTCATTCGCAGTCGCCTTTCATATCGAAGGAGAGCAATTCGTATCCATTTCGGGAAAACTGAAAATTGACTTTCTCGAAACGTCACATTCACGCTGAATACGATTTCGCTTTTTTTTTTAAAGTGAAGTACTGTATTCACCAAGTCTTCCGGAATACGGAGAACCAACTAAATCCGAACAGAATTTTTCATCAAGTCCCGAAGTGAGCAATTCCAACTCCCGAAAAAATACTGAGAGCTATGGAAGAAGAGACAAAACGCGAATTTCCCACGTTTTCCATTCCTCCGAAAAATTCAACATACGCATTTCGAAAAAAGTAACGCTATATATTGAAAAATTTTTCGACACTCTTCAATTTTTCACACATTGAATTACAGGAAGAAATAACTAACCTTCGTCTTCGGAAGCAACAGTATCCCGGCCGCTCGCAGACATCCAGCCCATGGCGTCGATCAGTGAATTTCTTGACTGGGTGCGGGAAGATATCTTGAAAAAATCCACACTCGCGAAGAATAAAAAGAACTACGACTGGAAGCGAAAAAGGGAATCCAAAGTGCTTTCTCAACCTGAAAAACAAGGACCGAACACATTTCATAACTTTTCAATTCCGAGAAGTCACGCTTGAAATTCACCAAGTCCGAACGGACACTTCAGAAATATTCAAGAATTACATTCTCGGAAAACGAGAAGTTAATTTTTTCTCGCCATCACACGTAATATGTTTACGTGATAGTGAATTCTCAATATCGCCGGTTTAACAACAATAAAAGCTCATAAACACGCTTTTCGAAATTAAACGCCGAAACTTACTGCGCTGTCAAAATGTACTTAAGATCGACTCGCAGTTTTGCACTGCTGGCCACGAAGTTTTTAAAGCAGGGCATTCTATTTGGTGTTAGAAAATTCGATGCCATATTCATTCGCCAGATTTTTAAAAAATGATATCATCAGATTGAATATCCCACACTTTGATCCATTGCATGATTTTTTCTTCGTGCAGCAATAGTTAAGCTTCAGAATGAACAAGACCCTCAGAACTTCACAGTCCCACACTACCTAGTTTCAGGTGAATCGCGTCTTCATCTCAATGAAAAAATACCAATAGATCCCTCGAAGAAAATTGAGTTAGAAATTCCCATCTGTTCCATCCTGAGAAAAAGCGGATGTACAGAAATACTTGATGCAAAACAAGCTCGTGGAACGAACAAGTTCGAGAAAAGAAAACTGCAATAGGTAGGCAAAATGGGAGTCGACAGGAAAATTACCAAGTACAGAAGTCGCTGATTTTCACCAAGTCCGAATTCCATTTAAAAAAAAAAAAGCAACTTCCTTTTCTTCTCTTACTTGCGTCTACCCTACTTTAGGTTCGTAATACAGTATCACTAAAAGGTTCCGTGTTGGACACATTTCGGCATCCACGGAAAATTTTCACCAAGTCCGAAAAGCTCTCACACGACAATTTTTTTCTAACGTCACTTTCTTCTCAGATATTCGGGGGTTCCCTGGTTATCCTCTCCAACCGTTCGCGCCGGCAGTCGGGAGCGATCTGACACTGGCGACCAGCCGGCTGGCACCTTGATACTCGCGTGATTCTGTGCCTCCCTCCCTCCCACAGCCGGCTCCTCTCCCTGCCGCCGCACACTTTTACGCTACGATATCCACGCGCTTCTGCGGTGAGGGAGTGGAAATCGTAGTAAGGCACTACTACAACCGCACGCGGTTTCGAGGCCAACGTCTCTCTCGGCGAGCCTTCGCGCTGCGTGACGCAGCTGAGAAGGGAATCGGGAGGGAGGCGGGCTCAGCTGGGCCGCCGCTTCGGGTGCTCCAGAACGGAGTACAGCAACTGTCACTTCGTCACCCGGCTCGCGCAATGGCGCGCTCTGCAAAACGTAGTTTCTCCCGGCTACTTTCAATCTGAATTTCTAAAGCATCATATCCAGCATTTTTTCCCTTTCATAATGTCTCGAATGTAGCAAGGCATTCGCGAGGAAGTGAACTCTGAAGTTTTACACTATAGAGGGTATATTTCATTCTATACAACATTTAAGTCTCACATTGGGAAAATACTGTCTTTGATTCTGCTCCATTTGAATTGATTATAAATTACGTGAGGGATTTCTATGCTCTTCTTTCTTGAATTGCTGGAGTAGTCATGCATTTCTGTGGGAGTCCCATGCCATTCAATCTTGTGTCACATACATTTTTTCAATAATAGCACTCGGGGGACAAACAAACAGATTCATAGTTTGGTATGTGTGTCCTATATGCAGATTAACAGCAGGTATTTTTGTGAACGCATAAAGGATGAATATGGTGGCGGAAGTTCTCCCTTTATCACAGCTATTGAAGAGAAATAAGGAAAGAGTATCAGACAACCGGAGCGGCATGCACTCACCGTAACGCTACGTGCCCCTGCCATGATGGGAACGTGCGTAACGCCCGCACAGGGGCAGCGTGGGAGGGAGTGCAAGCCTAGCGTACGCGGACACGGACGCCACAGCATATCAATGGCCGCGTAGCCCGAACAAAGGAGGACTGGGAGCGGCGCAGACAGCTGCGCTGTCTCTCTCTCTCTCTCTCTTTCCTGACCCCGGCAGCCGGGAACAAAGAAAAACGCGGCTCGCGTCCACCCACTCACGCAACCGACCGACCGGTTGCATGGGTATGAGGGGAAGGGGGCATTGGATGGGGACAACCCTTTAAGAACTGACCTCAGATTCAAACCCGTTTCTCCTCCCCATCTCTTGGTTCCGGTGTGTTCAACAATTTAATTACTAATACTGTACACGAAAAGAATAGTCGTCTGGGAGTTAGAATGCCTGTTGTGCCCTCTCTGCGTGAAGATCAAGTACTGTACCAAACCCCCCCCCCCTCATCATCTCCCTTCATCCTGGCTTCCTCTTCTTTCTGCTCCGTCACGGTACCGATACGGTATCTGTTGCTGTGCAGCTTGAAGCAATACCGTCTTTTATGGTGGTACAGTAACAGCTTCATGTGCTGCGCGGATGGAGAGCATGGAAATCCTCCCGCTGAGGTGGTTGTGCTTCTGCTGAGGTTTCTTGGGAGGGCTTGGGTTCAATGAAACCCAACCTGTTTCACAGTGCTCAGGGTTTTTGATACTGCAAAAGGTTCTTCGGTCGACAAAAGGTGGGAATTGCAGCATTCGATTCTGAGTCCATTCTTTGGTTCTTTGGTTGGGAGGACTACCTGTTATAGAGGATGTTTTTATGTAGGCATTCATTCAGCTAAAATTACGAAACTTACTTGCACACTGAAATTGAGCATCATTGTAGCTCTCATTGACTCTATCCCTTCATAGAAAGAGAAAATGAAAACATGAGATAAAGTCTGCATCATGACCAAATCTGAATAATTCTTGCAATTGAAAACGTTGGATGGACTGGGTTGAAAGTCAAATGCTGTATGTTGGTCATGTTTTGCCATACACTTGTGCTATACTTTCATTTAAGTCAATAACTTATCAGTATCATCGATAGTTTTTGAGCTGTGCATAAACTTCAAAAAGAAGACTGGATAAACCAGGTTCTACTTTCAATTTGGGCAGACTGTCAATGAAAGTGCAGTTTCCAAAAAAAAAAGTTCCCTATGTTTCAGAGAACATTTTCAGAGACATGAATTAAAAATGATTCAATCATGAAAAATGTTCATCTGTAATGGTTTTTTGAATATTATGTGCTTATTCGATCATATTTGTTTGATTAAAATATGATACGGTTTGAATTCACAAAATTTTTCTTCGAATTTTTTAAAGTTTGTACATACCACATGCACCTTATTAAAAAAATAGAAACGGGTGTGAGTGGTGCTTGAGTGAATACTGTGCTGAAATATTGGAGATAATTTTTCTGGAAGACTGCTTTATTGATGAAAAAACGTGACGCTGAAAATTTAATAAATAATAATTAACAGTCCATCAGCACAGATAATGATTCAGCTATATTATAATAAAATAAAGCGGCAGAATATGCTGCAATTTCAGGCAAAGAAGGCCGCCTCCGATCCCCTATAAATACTGTACAAATCGATATGCTCAAGGTACATATCGTCAGTAATACTGTACTGTACAGTACTGTATTACAAAAGTAGGGATGGGGGAAATCACGATCACACATACATACATCATGCATACATAAGCCGCAGATTTCACGAGCTACCGGCGTCGGGCGCTTTTCAAAGAGACAGATAGGTCCGGCACACATCCGCCCCCCACGAAAAGGGCACCCCCGAAAACCGGCGGCTCCCAGGGGTTGGGATCCCAGCTTGGGTATTTATTTTTTTTTTCAACCCGGAATTTTTACCGAATCTCTCTCTCTCTCTCGCTCTCTCTCTCTCTCTCTCGGTGTCTCCGACCCGGGGCGTCTATTGATCGCCAACCTTGTGTGTGTGTGTGTGTGTGTGTGTCCATGTGTGTGTGTGTGTAAGAGAGAGGGAGAGAGAGAGATGTACCTATGAATGCTGCGAGGGATTCCTAGCTGTTCTTCTCTGCAACCCGGGGGTGATGCAGCAGCACACCAGGACTGGGATGTGATGCTTGCGAAATGCCAAGATTGGTGACTTGCGAGCAGCGGAGCAATGCCCCCGGTGTCTTGTGGTTCAGGTCGCCTTCGAAAAACCTCAGCAGGGCTCAGTGTTGGTCTCCTTGATTATGATATTCATATTTGTGGGTTCTTATGGGAAGAGAGGCATGCGTTTGAATTATTTTAAAATATTTGTTTGTTTGTTTTTTTTTTCTCGCTATGTACACACCCAAAAGTATTCTCATGATTCTTCATCTATAGCATCTAAAAGCCAGCTAAAATAAATGAACCTTGCTAACTCGCATATTCCTAAGTTGAAAACCTCAATCTGCCAAAGTGCTGCTTAGTCCCTGTCTGAATTCTTTTGAAAACCATGTAGTGTAGACGTCAATAACACAAATATATTATCCTTCAGGCTATTATTCCAGGGACCCGCAAAGGGGGTCCATGGAAGCAATAAAAAAAAATAACTTTTACTGTTTTAAAAATGAGATGAGTGACTAATTCGATAATACCCCAGTCTTAAACTTCAATGGCCTGTCAATTCATTTCATCAGATTTTCAAGCCCCAGAATATTGAAAATGTTTCATTTGCAAGAAAAATGCAAGCTTCCCTGATTCAGAATAATAATCCCAATTTTAATTTTCATGTTCCGTTGAGTTTGACTTGAAGAAGTTTGAATGTATACTGTATGCATCTGTTAACCTACCAAAAATCAAGCCTACGAAACAACCCTTATGAAAATTTTATAAAAATGGCCTTCAAGAGTCACGTTGCTTTTCAAGATAAGGGTTGTTTTTTAAATCTCTTCGCTGTAAGAATTTCAAGGTTATAAGTATCCTTATGACAACTGCTTTTTTTTATGAGGTCTGCATGCAATATTGGTCACAACGATTCATGACCACTTGCTGATACGTTTATTTGAGATAATTAATTAAGATAAGATAGAAATGCAGTTAATTTCTGACACCCAGTAATTATGGGAAGTACTATAGCTCCAAGGCACACAGTAGATTCACGGTTCATTGGTTTTGTTGCGGTT